CTCCCTCTACTCTGTCTCTTGATGTGCACTACAAACTGAAGCATCTTTTTAGAAGATTAAAAAAGCCAGAGAGTGGGTGTGAAAAGAAACTGAGTGTTAAAAAGCCACTGTCAACCATTTTCTAAACACGACCCACAGTAATGTGATCACTGCTGTCAACAGGTATAAAAAACAAACTAGGATATTCTCTTGATTGCTTCAGGTTACATTAGAAGAAGGCAAGAAGTCTCATCATCTAGAAAGTGTAGTGTTTAAACCGGGTTGTAAAGACACAGGCTTAATTCAGGCAAGAGCAAGCAAATGTCAGCTGGATATATTTCTGACTCTGCTGCTCAAAGCAGGCAGATGTTACTTCACAGCACTCTTCTGGGTGCTCACATGGACTAAGATGGATTTTGTTGTGAACTATACCAGTATGCGGCTTAAAGTAGGACCCTTGCACATTTAGAAAGTTATCTTCCTAGCTTCCTTATTTCTCTTTTACTATAAAAACCAGAGTAGGACCATACACACTAGCAAAGTAAGTTCAGTCATTCACTCTGCCCAACTTGTCTGTCACTTAACACCAAAAGTTACCTAGAGTTATTTTGCTTACTGCCAGTACTCAGACAAGGGATTCTTCCATTGCAGAGTTAACTCTGGTTCCAGCTTAGGCTCCATTCCAATGCTGAATGCTACTCACCCACCAAATTCCTTCACCTGCATCTGGGCTGCTTTTAAGTCAGGCCAAGATCATCTGGACTGCACACAAAACCTGTCCTCTGCAGTTAAATCACCAAAGTTGACAATGCACTCAACTAGCCCATGGCTCCTCGCAAAGCGCCTTGGACAACTAATGCACTTCTTGACTGAGAAAAAATCAAAACAACACAGCTAAGGGCAGTTCCAGGAGCCAGGGATACATCCCAAGACATCACAACATTTATGAAGAAGTGCCGTGTTGCTGAGGAGAGAAAAACTTGGATATATTTCACCTGTGGAGAGAGCTGAAGGGGAAGAGGAAATGCAGGTAGTCTCAGCATTCCTCATGGACATTCATCAGGGGAAAAATGCCCAAATCTCCCCAAAACCCTTAGAGATACAAAATCATAGCCAATCTCACCTATGAGTAAAGTCACAGTGTGCTGAACAGAAACGAGAAAGGATACCAGACTAGAGCAGAAGGCAACAGTGTTGTAGTACCTGTTTGGACACAGTACTCCACACCATTTAAGGAGCACACGTAGCAGCATTCCACTTTACACAGAAATAAATGTATGCACTGAGATTTATGCCTTTTGACTTCCTTACCAGGGCTATCATTATTTCTAGGCTCATATGAATTCTTCAGGAAGTTTGGTATTGCAGCTTGGAAATGTAAAAAATGCAACTAAACATTCTTTAAGTAACTAAGGCAAATAAATGGTAACAGAAATTAGAAAGTGGTATTATTCATGAAAAGTAGCCCCTGAAATAAACTTGAATTCATTTGATATATGTTAATTTCAAGACAATGAAACCTTAAAGGTCTTACCAAACCAGCAGCCCATCATCTGTAATATTACAGTGATGGATACAGTAACAGATACTTTTACATTGCCATACATAGAGTTGTTAGCACATTAATAACCATCTTTCATCAAGCATAAAACTCAGTTAGGAAATACAGCTGCAATAGCACAAATTATACTACTCTCAGCATATACCCTGAAGCAAAGAAAACATATGAGCTGCTTTTCATTAAGGGAGTTTGGCAAACATCTCTAAAGACAATGTTTTCTTTCCAGAAACAATCCCAAGAGGCATTTCAGAGTCTCTTTCCTGAGGTAAACCTGGTACACGAATATATATTTGTACTACAAAATACAAATAGCAATTTTCCAGTACATAGCACCTCTTAATTTTTCAGTAAGACAATCTACATCTAAGTCAAATATTAACAGTTTCTTTACTTTCTTATTTTAAAGTAAAATGCTAATCTTACATGCATGCATGCTTAGTTTAACTCAGAAGGATCACTTGTATGAGCAAAATTAAACTGCTAGTATAGAATTGGAATCATAAGAGAAAGCACCACATTCAGTAAAGAAAGATCTCTTTTATGATGTAAGAGAAAAATATTCTAAAAAGGGTAACTCCCAATTAAATGTAGAAATGGGCACACTGAAATATTTTATGCACCTTTTAAGCAACTATATATTCTGATTGCATATTTAAAGACTGAAATCAACAACAGACATTGCACCTTCACTGGACACACTTTTAGGCCACAACTTCTCCATCAGAAACTATACTACCCTAGATCAGCCACTGCCATTTATTATACTTCATTAAAAAATAATACAACATAATCTCAATGTAGAATTAGTTTGCACCTCCTTAATATACAGTTACTCTGGCATGAACATGTGATATGACTGGTAGGGATCAGTTCCCCAGCCATAATCATCTATTGTTATTCCACACCCAGGTCTAGCAGAGGAGAGATGGGACTCATGGGGGTCCCACACCCTGCAGAACTGACAAGTAGAGGTGAGGTGACTTACTTGAGTAATGCAACCTGAAATAGCAGCAGACACCTATTCTCTTAGCCAACACAATCTCACCTGATGCAACCACCAGGTTTTGATTTAATATCCTTAGCAGTCATTTAATATAAAAAGGCAGGAACTAATAATTGGGGAAAAGAGATCATGAAGATGACCTTGATATCAAAAATAATCCCACACTCTAGAGACCAAAAGAAATAAAGAGCTGATATTAAAAGCCAGTAAACACAGTCTTAACTCCCAAGCAGCTGTTTTCTGAAAGCACAGACTTACATGAACTTCTGTAGTATAAAGCTACCTCCAGATTAGCAACATTTATCAGAACACATATCACTGCAAAAACAGGAAATCATATCTTTTCAGTGCAGGAGGCCAGCAATAAAAATGGTTAAGGTTCTCATAACAAAGTTAGGCTGCATCCTAAACACACTTCAATATTCCCAACCATTTTTGCAGGCACTTTTTGCTACAAGGGAGTGCTTGTTACATGCCTGGACTCAATATGGATGGTATTTCTTCACCATAGATTCCCAACTGAATTTCAGATTTAGATGATACTGAAATCTTTCACAGGAGGAATATCAAAAGATGACAAGCATCCCCAAATGTCTCTCATTCTCCATGACAAGACCACTTTGCACTCCAGAATGGGTGCATTTTCTGTACAGGTTTCTCTCCAAGGTGTCCAAATGTTACTATAAGTCTTGAAACATCCTATGTCTTGTTCAAACAATCACATTTTTAGATATAAAAGAGAACAAATACCCACTAACACTATGGGCTACCTATACAAAACAGACCAAAGTTGTTTTGTGTCAAAATAAAGATTAAAAAATACTCCTCAGAAACCTTTCAACTTTGGGAAGTTATGAGAAGAGCCCACCAGCACTGTGCTCAGGCTCCTGAGCAGAACTCTGGCCATGATAAACCCAGGCTGCAGTGGGAGACAATGGTGGGAAAGTAAAGGGCACTTTCTTCTCTGGTTTGGAGTTTACTTGGTGTGTCTAAAGGCAATTACTAGCAAAGTCAAGACAGCTACGCCCAACTGTCTCCTGCT